TACGAACTCAGTGTAATATATAAACCTGATCAAAAATGACATTTATTTTGCTGTCTCTATTATTTGCTTCTAGCTTGACAAGCATCCCCCCTCCTGCATAAACATAGACTGCAGTCTATTTAACATCACAGCTGTAGGCAATTGATGAACAACCAGCTATGGCTATTAGGAGGGCTAACAAGTTCGGGACACAAGTCAATGAAAGCCACAAGTACTCAAACATTGATCTCAACAAAAAGGGAAAAAAACAAAAAACAAATATGCAACATTTTTTTAAATAAAAAATTGAATTAAAATTGGTTGAGTGGGGTGCAACATTAAGTTTTTGTTTATTAAAAGGTTCGACATTCTAATGTACAAAAAATTCTCAATTTACTCAAATTTTTAAGAATCACAAGTAACTAATTTTAATGTCAGAGAACGTTAAATTTATACTACACTAGTGTTCCTAACCTTTGCATTATTCCACAAACGATCAAATCAAAGCCATATCTCTATTTTTTTTTCTTAGAGATCACGTGTCATAAATTCAAGTTACACTAATAATATATAAATAGATTGTTTACTCTTTAAAAATAAACGCTTTGCCAAGAAGAAAATGAAAGAAAAGAAAAAAAATCAGAATCCAGTGCCACTGCCTGTTCATTAATGCCTCCAAGGTAGGAGGACAACACAACCTTCTGCTTAAGGTTTGTGATTTCACAATGGAAATCCAATAAAAATGGTGGTTACAAGACAGAAATTGAAAAAGATGGGATTAGGTCTCAGTGACCCCATGTTCCTTAATTTTCATGTCCCTCCAGTAGTTGAACCGTCTCAGTGAAACACCACTATCAGTGGCTAATGTATGAAAAAAGTGCACACACATGCAATGGTAGATACTTTGGCAATAAATATCACTACAGCTCTTATGTCCTTTGCAATATCATTACTTGTACCTAATTTCATCTCAGTTTTTGCCCATAAAAAGTAAACCAGGTTGCTAATTAAGGGTCTCCCTGGTATACTCAAATGAGTTGTTCTTGACTTTGGCTATAAATGGTACTAGTGTTTTTAATCCCTATACCTAACAGAACTAATGAAAGAGCCTCATCATAGTAATAGTGTAATACCACATTAAACACATTCCAATCAATATCAATATGGCCTACATAGTTATAGTACTGTAAGACACTCCAAGGTGGCTTCTTCGGTCTAAATCACAAATGTTGTCATTCTTGACATTGGTAAGAAGTGAATAGAGTCTCCTGTACTTTTAGCCCCTAAAAATATCTCCTCGAGAATGGTTAAAACTTCAAAATATTTAAAATTTAACTATTTAAAAATAAAATCATATTTTAATAGAAGATATCTAGGTTAGATGAAATACAATTCTGCTATAATGATGCTCTATATTTAAAAAATCATTGTAAGATTACATATAAATAATTTATAATATATCTTCTCGCCTTTCTTATCAACTCTTTGTCTTTTCCTCTATTCTTTCTCTTTCTTCCTCCAACATTTCCAACAAAGGTACAAAATATAAAAAACAATTTATAATTATATTACTTATAAATGTCAGGTGACAAATTTTTGATTTTTGATTTTTGATTTTATTCATAATTATTGTGATAAAGTCAATTATATTCACCTATATACTTTCATCTAATTTTTATTTTTTTAACTCATATTTAACTTTCAACGTATTTTAGACTTTTTTAGAAATATTTTTAAATTATTTTAAACTCATTTATTAATAATACAGTTAAATACAATTTTCTATAAATGTGTTTGGTGGACAACTTAAGAGTCTGTCCACTAGATGCACTTACTTCTGAAAGAGATGGGATTGTTATATCTATATGAAGAACTAAAGTTGTATTTATATTAAATTATTATATATATGTAATTACTAGATTGAATTTTAACATCAAAAATATGTTATATTTTATTTTTTTAGTATAAAATAATATAATAATATTATAAATAATCTAATCAATTCATTTAACAAAATAAAAAAGAGATTCCTCAATAAATCACATACTAACTACTCTAAAACTTATAGAATAAAGAAACAATTAAATTTAACAATAATTAAAATACAAATTAATTACCTAATTTATTATTTAATCTAATTACACATATAATTCACGTTTATAAAAAATATTATTTAACTAGTATTTAAAAATAGTTAAAATATAAAACATTTGTTGTAGTATGTATTAAAAAAATGAGTTATTAAAATGCAAAAATCTTATTAAAAATGCTCTAAATAGGGTTAAGACTTGTGGGTGAGTTGCCCAATACCTCATCCTATACCATGGCCAAGGTAAGAAGGATATGCGTGGCTAGCCAAAGCAAACCCCCCCCCCCCCCCCACCAAATGTATTTTTGTTGTATTCGACAAATTGTCATATAGACTTTCTTGGCGGTGCAATCGATTCCAATAAATATTAGATATTTTTACATTTGAGTCGTAAATTAGTATTATTGGATGAAATACCTTATCTTGTTGTAATTTTTTTTCCTTACATTAATGTCTATTTGTATAATAACACAACGTACTCCATAAATACAACAGTATTGGAATTCAAAATATTTTGAATTCAAACAATAAATCATCTGTTACATTAAATAAAAGAGTAGCAGAAATATATTATATCATAACAATAACTATACAGTAAGTAGAAAAGAAGATAGATTCAAAATGAATTCACTCGTGAAAATATGAGTGCAATGGTAGGGCCCTGAGAATGGTGGCATGACATATTCAATGAATACAACCAGACAAAGGGCTGGTGTAGGCCCCACACAACCCCTGTCGGCGAAGAGGAAGCCAGCCCCCTCTATCTCCATCTCGCTCTCCCCAACCCGGCAACTCTCTCTCTCTCTCTATACGTATATGTCCAAGTATATATGACGCTGTATAATGTGCATGTACCACCCCCACCACCACCGGCCCCTTTGTCCTAGGACCATGCCGTGATGGACCACCACGCCCTACCGTTGACACGTCAACATCACTCTATACACCCCTCCTCCCTCCCTCTCTCTCTCTCTCTCTAGCTGGCACACAGTGTTGGGACTTGGGATTCCGAGATGATATGATAGAGATAGAGATATGGGGTAGTAATCGTAATATGTAAAAGAGTGTGTGCATTGCATTGTATAGGTGTTGTGGATGGGTGGCGTGGTTGCTTTTTCTTTTACATATTCCCTTTTTCATCTACTAAAAATTTGTCACTTATAATGTTTTTAAATATACTTGCTTTCACTTAATTTATTATTTTTAAATAATTATTTCAAACAAAATTAACAGGTCTAAATTAATTTTAATACAATATCTCTAAATTATCGTAGTTTTATCCAAATTGCAATTTTCGAATTTTCTTCTCCACCTAATACCTACGTAGCCAGTGGTAAAAGTGTGAGAGATAAATAGCCCCAAATCTATATTTTATGCAATACATTTTTTTTTAATTTTTTCTAGATAAATCATCTATTATTAATTTTTAATGTATTTTTGCTCTAAATTAAATTTAAGTTAAAATATTTGTGATGCACTCACGTGACTGTGCATCTTTCTTCATGCAGCCCACCACTGCTTTGGCCTCTTATATTAAAGATGAGAGAGAGAGAATTTTTTTGTGTGAGTTCGCGGAAAGTGGAAACCACTAGCGGACTTCGCAAGGCAACCCCCCACCCAACCACAATTTACATAAACAATTAGAGCAAACTTAATTAGATTTAATTTATTTATGATAATTGGGTCGACAGTAGACTCCTATATATTGAGACTCTCAACTAATTCGATTCTTATAACAGATTAGATAAATAAATTATATTAATAAATTAAATTTAAATAATAAAATACAATAATATTTATTTGACTGGGTGAAATAATTTATTAATCCAATTTATCACAAATATTGGATTGATAGCGAGTCTCAAAGAATATTGAGACCTATTATCAATCAAATGACAACGAGTAGTTATGTTAATAAATTAAGTTATAAATTAGGTTCAAATAGCATGTTATTACCTAAATTAAGTTAAAACTACATTGTTGTTACCTAATCCACTATTAACCTTGATATAATTTCTTAAAAGTACCTATGTGTCTTATCCTCGTGAGGAGAGGTAATTTTAACTTGATAGCCAAACAACGCAAGTCTTCATTTAATTAATTTGAGTTGCAGAATTAGTTCGTGTATTTGGAATTTATTTTTAGTTCTATTTAGTCTCAAGAGTCTAAGTAATTAAGTTGTCTCTATCTCCTCGAAGACAGAACATTTAATTTTCCCCGCCATCCAAAGACAAAAAAGTAAGAAATGTAAAATACCAACAAAAGTTCTAAAAATATATTTTTTTTATCTTTGTAAAATTATTGGTTATTGTCTCAAGCGTGGTTTATATTCAAAACTATTACTCAAATTAGAAAAAAAGCACACGCATCCTATAAATTAAGACATGCATTTTGTACGAGATGAAAGTCTAATGGAATCATGATATGTATAAAAAGTGTCTACTTATGGTATTAAATAATTATTTTTAAAAATTATATCAATTTTCATCTAATATAAACCTGACATTTATAAAACTATATTTACTTGAAAGATTATCATTAAAAATAAACCAAAAAAAATTTATATCATAATTTTACCGTCAAGTCTAATCACAAAATGCATTAAATAAGTGTCTTGGGGAACAGATTTTTTGTTAGTATGTCCGAAGCACATATATGATATCTAGTACTAACTTTGTCAAGTGTCACAGGCGGTTTCTCTCTCTCTCTCTCTCAATTATTTTCCTTTGAAGAACATCAAACCTCCTAAACAGAAACCAGTCTGGTTTTCTGTTTTTCAGCTCCGCTTAAGTCTTAACCATACATAGCCCCTACACATCCACCCTTTAAGATGGTCCTCCCTTCAAGGTACCAACCCTCTTTCTGTCTATGTAATGACCCCATGCTCCATTTCCTCTCTCCAGTGAACTTGTAGGTTGGTGGGTGTCTCTGGATGGATTTTGGGACCGTGGGTTTGGACGGGTTTGTGTGTTTGGACAGCGGCTTTGCTTCTTCTACAATTGCTTCAGATCCTGAGGCCAAGCAAAAGTGGTATGGATCTGGGGGATTTCTCAAGCAGGGAAGGTCTGGGACTAGTACTGAAGATGACTGGAGGGACTTGAAAGTGACCAAAACTAGCGATGATTTCTCAGCCTCCAAGGCAATGTTGCTCCAGAATAGAAGTCCTTTACTGAGATCTAATAGCTCTCTACTATCTGATGGTCAGCAGATGCTAAGCTTCTCTTCACCCAACTCACAAACTGTGGCATTCCCTTACTATCTCAACTCATCAAATGCTTATAGTAGAAATACAGGTATATAATCATTTTTAAGACTCGAGTCTGCCTGATATTATTGCACCATAGGTGAGGAATAGAAAGTGATGTGTCACATACTTTCAAGTTTGTCATTTGGGGAAGTAAATGGCTATGTGTTCAGTTGGTATTTCTTTAAACTTTTAGTACTATTTTATGAAAAGAGTTTTGGTATTTAGAAGTAGTTTTTCGTTTTGGGGTTTCAGAGATTAGTTGTTGGCTATTTGGGCATTGATTGCAATTAAATATGGGATGGTTTTTCATGTAAATGAACTTATTTTTATCGAGTCTTGTAAAAAAAAAAAAAGTGATTTTTTTTTCTTCTTCTAAGGTCTTCTTGTTTGAAGGGAGAGAGCTTGCAGCACAGTGGACTATTGAGTACAAAAGAAGAAAATAAGAAGCATGGATAGAAAGAAAAATAGGAGCAACAAAAAACCCATCTTTCCATTGATTGGTTCTGATTTTTGTTTCTTTTTTCCTGTCTGTGCTTTCGATATAAAGAGGAGAAATTCATGATAGTTGTAACGTCTTTAAATGCTGCAGAAAACTTATAATTTGGGGCTTCCTGTCACACCCCTTTCTCTGATTTTGCCTTTAGACTTTGTAGTCAGATAGGAATTTCGTTCACAGTTTACAGGGAAATAGTTTTTGGATTTTACTTTTCTCTCTGTCACAAATACCTGATTCTTTAGATCTTTCTGTTTCAGGCTATGGCTCTGGAGGCTTAAATGCTTCAAGCATTCATGGGGTACAAACAGGGGTTAGAGGTCCATTTACTACTTCCCAGTTGATGGAGCTTGAACACCAGGCCTTGATCTACAAATACATGACTGCAAATGTGCCTATCCCATCTAATCTTCTCATCCCCATCAAAAAAGCCCTTGATTCTGCTGGCTTATCTACCTTTTCAGGCCTAAGATCCAATTCTTGTAAGTATTTTTTTTCTTTCTCTTTATTATGTAGCAGTATGCCCTCTCTAGCAAGATTTGTATGGTTGTCTTTCATTTATGAATCTTAATGTGTACCTGAAACAATGTAATATATTGGGTGATCGACCTCTCTCTGCCTTAGGGGTTGGGTTTGGAGGTGGGAGGGTGTTCTTTGTAACTTTGTGAATAAAGAGCAAATTACTTTTTAGCCTTTTTAGTCCTCTGTGTCCTTGTTCCTTCTTTCTCCTCTGTTCTCTATCTCATCCCCTCCTGTTCCTCCCTCCAAACCCCACACCGGTAGCCTTGAAAAGGAACCCTTCTGAGGTCCCCCTTCCAACTTCTCAAATCACACCTCCCACTTGAACTCATCTCAAAGCTGAATCCACCACCCCCTAAAATGACATGGGCGTGCCAGTGCACGAGGCTCCCCTAAAATGACATCCACCTGTAAAACCTCACAACCATCACAACTTTTAAAGGAGACTGGGATTCCATCCCCTGAAAACCACCACAATAATTGCAACCACAACCAAAGACATGAAAGGGGTGGAGCACAAAGAGAGCCAACCAAAGAAAATAATTTTCACCCATATGTGGTCATTTAGCTGTTATACCTCACTTTCATATATATTTACTTTTCTTTGTGCAATGTATGATTTGGTATAAGGAATTTCTTGATTTAAGGTCAATGTTTAAAATAAAGAAATGTTGTAAAAAACATAGATATCTCTAAATTTGGAATACTAATGTGGACAATGTTTTCTTTTGCAAACATATTTTTTCTCTATTCTTTCCTGATTTAAAATTTTCCTTGTATTTTTTTTTTACCAGGGGGGTGGGGCTCTTTCCATTTCGGATTCTCCCCCAACAATGATCCTGAGCCTGGAAGGTGTCGTCGTACTGATGGGAAGAAATGGCGGTGCTCAAGAGATGCCGTTGTTGACCAGAAGTATTGTGAGCGGCACTTGAACCGGGGCCGCCATCGTTCAAGAAAGCCTGTGGAAGGCCAAACTGGCCATTCCGTCTCCGGACCCACCACCACCACCACCACCACCACGACTACCACCACTGCTAAGTTGATGCCAATGGCTTCCTCCACTTCGGCATCCATGATACCCGGCAGTGGCACATCCAACAGCCTCAGCCTGTCACGCAACCACCAGTTCAATAACTTGCAGTTGCAGCCTGGTGCACCTAATTCTTCTCCATCCCCCAACCTTGGCAGGTGAATACCATGATAATAATTTATGACGTTTCTTAGTTTTTTGCATCTATTCAAGTCCACTAATATTCATAAATTTACCATGGTGTTGGATTGGGTTTCAATTTGCCTTATGTCACTGTGAAGTGGGGCTTATATTATCCTTGTTATATTTATAAGAATGACTGATATTTCTCTCAAGGAATATTGTTTACATTAGTTGTGCTTAACTGGTAATTAGCTATTATACTTACCTGATTGATTATTTTCATGGCATAAGGTGGTTTTACAAGTTCCCATCTGTAGAATTCTGGAATCACGCTGACTTTTCTCCATGGTCTGTATGATACAAATAGGAGTTTTCTGAACAAGGAGAACATGGATGATAGAAATCAAGATCACACTGGCCTCTCCATGCTAACTCCAACCATTGGCCTGAAAAAAAACCCATATTCCATCCCTGAACAGCAGAACCTGTATGAAGAACCCACAAGGGCAGAATTTGGGTTTGTCTCCACCAACTCTTTGCTCAACCCTCTGAATAAAAACTCTTCGTTCATCAACTACCGAAGCTACGGTTCATCGGAAGATCTCCGTGACCAAGAAACCAAATCACATCATTCACTTCGCCAGTTTATGGATGACTGTCCTAAAACCCAATCTGAACACTCAACCATTTTATGGCCTGAGATTGGTCTGCAATCAGACAGAACCCAGCTCTCTATTTCAATCCCGATGGCTTCCTCAGACTTCATGTCAGCTACTTCATCTCCCACCAAAGAGAAGCTTGCACTCTCACCGCTGAGATTATCGCGGGAGCTGGATCCATCGCAAAGGGGCTTGGGAGTTGGTACAGTCGTCCATGATCCAAATCAAAGGCAAGTAAATTGGGTCCCTATCTTCAGGGAGACTTCCATGTGTGGACCTCTTGGAGAGGTTTTGCATAGCACTAACAACAGTGTGAACGATTGTATGAACACATCAGTTCTTAACCTCATGACTGAGGGTTGGGACAGTAGTCCCAGCATGGCATCATCTCCAACAGGAGTCTTACAAAAGACCACATTTGGATCTCTTTCTAACAGCAGTGCCGGAAGCAGCCCAAGAGCAGAGAACAACAAGGCACTTGAAGGGGCCAGCCACTGCAATGGCATCCTTGGCTCAACTCTCATGAATCCTTCCTTGCCTGCTTTGTAACCTTCTAATCCCAGCCTGAGAAGACATTAGGTAATGTTAAATGAAGTGAGTTTTTACCTCTGCTGACAAACGTTTTCAGTAAGTAGCTTTGAGTGTTTAAATTTGTTTATTTTTATGGTTTTTTAATCTGTTTATCTTTTGAGTATGGCTAGCTCATTGCAAAACTTGACTAATGTCTCATTCTGTATCAGTTAGTGTGACTTGTAATTTTTCTTTTAACTGCATGTGTTCATGTTTTTAGTATTGTGTGTCAATTACCTTTTGCCTTAATGAAAAGGTGGTCGACTACGATTTTTAGCCACCTGCATACAAAAAAGTTGTAGTCGGAGAGTTCTTAAACTTGTTCCACATGAAAATTAACAGGTTGGTTACAATTTTAGCTCGACATTCTACATTGTCAAGAGAATCGACAACAGCTTCTGAAGATTATCTTCAGGTTAATCTTCCCATGCCTTTCATAGCGCTCATGCATCACTGGAACTGGATTGATCTTCATCTCTTGAATCACAAACATTTCAAGCCTTCCAACTAAACCAGTCCTGACTCATAAGCTCCTTTGCTTCATTAGTAGCATTAAACTCCTCCATTACTTTCTTGTGATATCCTTGCAACAGGGCTTATGGTTGGCTGTCCTTGTCTTTTACTTAATCCATGTAAGAACTTTTCAAAACAAAATGAGATTTTTATGGTTATGTAATCTGTTAATCTTTTGAGCATCGCTAGCTCGGTACAAATCTTGACTGATCTCACGAGTCTTGACACCTGGTATTCTGGCTTTCAGTCTGGATCTGGTACTGTGAGTTAAAATTATGCTTTTAAATGCATGTGGTCATGTTTGGTAGTGTATCAATCCCATTTTCTCTCAGGTTGGTAGGAAGCATTTTTGTTGGTGGCTTGTTTTAACGATAAGGTGGTGGGCACTGGGTTATGATTTCTGGCAAACCTGCATAGACAAAGCTGGAGTCTTGAGAGTTCTTAAAAATTTGTCCCTATGGAAATTAAAACATTTGACTTCCAATTTAGTCATCTTTATGCTACATTGAGCGAATGGAACAGAACTTCAGAGGTTATACTCCAGGTTAATCTTCAGATGACTGTCAAGCTCTATTCTCCAATGCAACAGGATTGTTATCTTCATCAACTGGAAACTTCAAAGATTCTCTTTTAGGCTAATCTTCCCAGCTCTAAACATCTCTGCAACTTGATGAATCTTGTCGCTGAATCATGAAAACATTTCTAACCTTCAACCATCGTTGCCAGTATCAATTTACAACAGATCTTGCGACTTGAGCATAGTTTAGTACATTATCTCCAAGCCAAATCAGATTGGGGAAGTTGTATAATAGGCTGGCATGAATATTGAACCAACTCACTCCCAAAGGGTATTGTCACATGCATCCTTCTCAGCAGATCTAAAAGCTTCAAATGATAGTTTACGTATTTATTCAATGCATAAAAATTTACATGGCACAAGACAAAAGAAGACTTTTATGGTGTGAAACTGAACACGCACACAGAAGACAAAAACAGTTTCTCTCTGTAAGAAAGGGTAAAAGAAGAGCCCACTTCTTGATCTTTCATCAAGCCTCATTTCTCTTCCAATGTTGCTGAAATTTTAAGGGCTGAATTCTGTCACAAGCAGCATCCTTTTCTACTCTTTCAGATCCTCTTTTTTTTGTTTGGGTGAGTCTGTCAGATCCTCTTTTGGAATCTCCTACAGCTGATTTTGAAAGTCTTCAATTTAACCAGCTGGCAAGACCTTGTTTTTTATGCTGAAATCCACAAATGCATATATGGTTTTTTTGGTACATTGGAAAGTAAACCATAACAACTAGACATAATTCCTAGAGAAAGAAACACTGGCCATATCAGACATAATACAACTCCCCAGTTGGGGGTGGAACATCCAGCTCCACAAAAGGCCTCTGCTGTTGAGCTCCAATATTGGCCAAGATGTCCGCACATTGGTTGCCCTCTATGAGGGTGTGGATGATAGAAATATTATGTAATTCCATCAACCTTCTACAGCTTGTGATAATGGCTCTGTTGGGATATGCATTTCTCCTGCATTGACAGTAAAAGCTTTGCCGCTTTCCACAATAACAAGTTCAATATGTTTTCTTTGAATGAGCTCCAGCCCTTTTAAGATGGCCCATATATGTTTGTCAGTCAAGAACATGTCTTCTTTTTGGGGGGTTGTAAGCAAGCTAAGAATATGTTCCCTCTTGATGTTTGATATCTCTTACTGTGAGTAGAAAAAAATCATTTGTAATCCCATTTTGTTAATCTTTGATGAAATTGAACCAATTTTGTTCCATTGTGTTTTTTTTTTGAAGAGTTTCGTATCCACTTATCCCTCATTACGACAACTAAGTTCTACTTTTATGACCATTAAGTTTTGAATACAAAATTGCAAGTTTTGGGGGGCTGTGAAATTAAACCAAATTTGTCAGAATGGCATGATAATTTCCAACAAAAAAGGGGAATAACAATGTAGGCTAACATCACATGAATTAAGAACCCTAACAAGCCAACTGACGAGGAATAAGACTAAGAAAATTGAATCCTATAATTTGGAGGCGTGCGTAACCCTAACCTATACAATTATTCTGTCAAATCAGGGCTTTAAACACCACCAATCTAAATTTTAGGAGAGGCCAAAACACATAGCACCAAATAGAATTTCTTGATGCCATGTAGAAAACTACGAAGCCAGCTCCTTCAGATAATAAATTAAGTCAAAAAAATTATCAACCGGTCAATGAAATATAAATAATTCAAAAAAAATCACATTATGCCTATACACAAAAGAGGCACAAACTACTCCAAATCATTGCCTTGTGAATGCATTTGCATACAAATAAACACAATCAATTTACTAAAATTTGGAAGGAAAAAAAATGAAACTTTGATTAATAGCAACTCAAGAAACACAAAAACTGACCCTTTAGACTCAATACCTTTATTTAACAATACATTTCAAAAAAAATAAAAAAAGTACCAAGAAATTATAATTAAAAAAACACATATTTTGGTGGATGGCTCATATTCTATGGGTGTAAATGGGTCTGTCATGCCATGGCAATAGCATTCAGTACGAGGAATTATTTTATAATCACAGCGAACCCACCAAGTAGACATAAAGATTGAGAATTCACAGAGAAGAATAAAGAGAGATCGTATTCACAAAAACAAAAAAATGGATCACAATGATAATTCGGAAATTGAAGGAAAACAAGGAAGAGGAGAAACACAGAGAGAGAGAGAGAGAGAGAGATTTGAGTAAATTGCTTCGTGGGCGGCGGCGATGCTTGGGAGTAGATATAAGTAGTAGGGTTTTATAGAAGAAGAAGATGGAGCAGAATTGAGTTGTCTTCTCCCCAAAATTGTAACCCTAGCCGCAAATTTTTAAGCAAGGATCTTTCGGATTTGGGTGGATTGTGAATGAGCCAATTGGCCTAGCGGGCGGGCCGTGGGTTACCCTTGTTGATACTAGCTTTCCTTGGCCCCTATATTGAGCCCATTTTCTGGTTTTTCATGAGCCATTGGGACGGGACAGTAATCATCACAAAATAGAAGTGTTATTTGAACCTTGTTTATTGATCTGCTGGTTGGGGTCGCCGAGAGCGTTCAGAGATCACTCTAATAGATTTTTCCCGTTAAGCTAGTATAAAAGTCAACTATTGAGCTCTAATTTAGACTTCAAAATTCGAACCTCTAACGTCAGGGTGAGAAGATTTATAAAAAAAAAAATCATTTTAATTTGTCAAAATGAACTAATGTTGTCACCTAAAGATCTATAAATGAAGGTTCAGAAATTTATAATTTTGAATTTTTTATTATTATTTTGATTCTCATAAATCAAAAAATAAACAAATACCATTCAAATGAAGAGCAGACTAAGATACAAAAAAATAAATAAATAAATTGGGTACAACACTTTCAATTTTTACTAATCATGTGGGTGTTTTTAAAATAAAAAAATTTATAATTTTTGTGGATATTTTTATAACTTTTGTGGATATTTTATAATTTTTGTGAGTGTGTTTTACCACTTTTGTGGTAGCTTTGCCATCGATCCTAACATATCAATCGCAAAATATCACAAAAGTTATAAAAACACACACAACAATACTCACAATGCTATGAACACAAAAAAATGTGCATCAAATTATTATCCTATTAGATCAGTAGAACCCACTATTATATTTGGTGTACATAGAATTATTCAAATTATAATAGCAGTATATTACTGAATTTTTTTTTATGCCATAGACTTCTCCTCCTTCTTTTTTATTTTTTTCACCAATTACAAAGAATATTTAAACTAATTTACATGCATTTTAAATTTTTTCTATTTTTTTTTTCGTTATCGTAGACTTCTCCTTCGTCGATGGTGTAACAATACCATATGTCACCATTCTTGGGTTAGGATTTTTTTGTTTTATATAAATTTTTTTCAGCAGTTTTCTTCAATTAATTACTAGTGACGGCAGCATACTGTATTTGAAAAAAGATAGTTGTCGGTCTAAATTCTAAGGTGGCACAAGACTATGAAAACCCATATATATTGTTTATTATTCGTCACGTTTCTCAGTGCACAATTACTTTGAAATTTCAAGTTACAATGAATTGGAAAATCATCTTTTAGTACTAATTTTCAAACATGACAATTCCCTCTTCGAAAAAAATGTTAGATTGAAAATCCATGCTTTGAATTGCTTAGTCCAATTTGATATAGTAACTAGTTAGTAATAACTCGTGTCGGAATATATTCTACAATATCAACACTAAAATATTTATTGTATAATATTTTATATTTAAAATATAATAAATAATCTAATTGATATTTGGGCGTAGTATAGTATATTTTGTCACGAAAAAGATTAAAAGGTCAATTTTTGTCTTTAATTCTTATGTCTTTCACTTTGAGGATTCTATTATGTTATTTTCAGATTTATCTTCAATCGCTATTATTGAAAAAGCTTATAGAATTTTTGATTATTTATCATAATCGTGATTTATTGATTTATATAACAAGTTTTGATGTAACTTGCTTGGACATCAATTTAAGGTAGGTGATAATTCTTGGTGGGTGAGAGAAAATTCAGTGTAAATAAAATACTCGATTACCTTGTTATGATAGCCCACCTTTAGGATAATTGCGTAAGTACTAAGATTCAAGAATTCGTATTGTATTTTATATTGGTCCTAAATTGTATCATGTAACAATTGACTTAGGACACACATGATTCATTTATGTTCATCTATAGTCGACTTTCTATCTTGTATAATCTGATTTTTTTTTAACAGAGTATTCAGGCTTATATTGATTATTTTTTCGAACTCTGAACTGACCATTTTAACTTGAGTTAGTTTAAAAACATATCTCTTAAGGAATAAAGATGATTACTAGCCCATAGCGGGTGTGAGAAGTGTCAAACGTGATACCTTCTAATTGCAAGAGGGTTGGTTTGACCATTATACCACCCTTAAAGATTTTACATATAGTTAGATTGGTGTTGCGTTTAATTGAGTTTTATATTAATTCATTCATTCAAACATTATTTTGAGGAATAAAATTGCTTAAATCATAATTTTATTTAAAATAAATTTGTACCCCAGATAATTTTATATCGATTTTATGTTAGAATTACGACCCGTACCAACAGTTGTCAATTTTAATAAATACAAATAGAATTTCATTCTTCCTGTATTGTGAAAAATGAGAATAGAGGACGAGGGGGAAAAGTCAATTTTGTCCTACTCAACCTAACTTCACATTTTTTTTTTCTTCTTTGGTTCAGGTTTGAATTTTAATATGTCAAGACTTTTATCAAACTTATGGACTACCAGTCAAGGCGTATACCTAAAGCATATTCCTACACGCTATTTTCATTCCATTAAAGAAAAAACATTTCATACCCCACACGAGAGAGAGAGAGAGAGAGTGGTTAGGGTTTAATTTGCTCAATTATGGCTTGTTTCTTCTAAATATGCGTATGGTCAAGTCATTTAGGTTCAATTCCGAGAAGTAGTTCAAACAATAACGAAGACGAACTATAAATTTAGATATTTTGAATTCGAATATTTATAATTTGTTGGAGTCAAGTCACAAGAAATTTATCCATTTTAAATACCCTAATATTTATGTGAATGATTTACCTTTGACTGAATCAAATAAAAAAATTAGTCAAAATATATGTAAATTAGTTTAAACACCCTCAACTGTTGAATATCAGAAACCAGTTAGTATAAGGTGACATCAAAATTCATTTATTTATTGTTTTATCTCAAAATCAATGTGATGACATAATTAATGTCCAATATTATACATTAATCATCATATTTTTACTTGGATATTCTTCGTCAATCAATTAAAATGAGTTATAGAGAGACCCTAACCAGCCGAGTAAATATTGACTGTAATTGTGGCATCACGTCATCATTGATACGTAATATTATTATCTAATAATAAATTTATAAATCGGTAAGGTGAATCTCACTTGGATCCACCTGTGAGATGACATGATGATTACTATAATATGTGAAATTTACCTACTTATTTATTATAATTTTAATTCAATGGTACCGCCAATATCATTATTTGAAGATTAAGAAGAAGATTTGTTCATGTACGTCCAAATCCATTGGTGGAAGAGAGATTTAAGATGGGGAACCTCTTCCATCCAAAATGATAGGTAAAAAATGGTAAATGCTACTTGAAATTCACTATATAACCTAAATTATTAGTGTCACTAATGTAGTATTGAACTTTATTCAATACTGAAGCACAATACTAATCTAACGATAGCAAAAGATCATACATGTTATCAAGTAGATGATTAGGTCTAAATACTATTAAGACCAAAGGCATGGCCACACATTTACACGCGTTTTCATAATTAAATAATAATAATTAAGTCTTCAAATTAGACCCGACTATCATTGGCGTTATAAATTATGTAGAGTTGCATTGGTTGAATCGAAATTGTTCCATATTGATGTGTTGGTAAGTCATGAAATAGACAGCTCAAGGACAACTGGGTCATCACTGATTCCCCTTGTGTCGTATTGCACTTCTACATATATGGACAAATCAAATCAGGAAACCAGCTTAGTGTAAGGTGGCATCAATATTCTAAAATATTTTAAAAAATATATTTGATATCATTAATAATTCCAAAAATATGAGTACCATACAAACTTCAAAGCAAGCATTACATTTGTGAGCATACAAGTCAATTCAATTTAATAAAATATTTATTCAAACTATTTGGTCTTGGCTATAACACAATGTGTTTAAGTTTCCGACTCAAAAACAATTGCAATCGACCATAAAATATTAGAATTTTTTGATAATTTGATCATAATTTTATCAAAGTAAGTTATAATAATACAACTGTTCCAATGGATCACAACAATATATTATCCCGTTTACTCACCGAACTAGTGTTGAACTTTTTGTAAAATCGCCTCTCTACACAAGGAGATAAATCTATAAACGATAGCCCTAAGAAGGTGAACACTTTGTGGGATATTCGAATCCCTAACCTACTACAACGTTTACCAGGTGGTTGAGTATATGAACCAACCACAGGGAGAGTACTCAAGCCACACATAAACATAAACTACATTGATTCTGTTGTAATCATATATCCAAGTGGTAGTCTGAGTCAACATTAATCCTAACTTTTGTCACCTAGCCTCTTAACTTCTTTGCATACTTTTCCAACTCCCTCATGACGTAGACAGAGAAAAAACCTGGTCTTTCTACTCGTCTTTTAGCCCATTTCTTCATCATCTGTTCTTGTTATTTTCCTTTAAAACCCACTACCCATCTCTTCCTTCACGTTTTACTTGCTTGACCTGTGAAAGATTTGCAGTTAGAGAGCATAAAATAAATGAACAACCCTCTATAAAACACCATAACCAGTACCTTCTCTTCATAATTCCACACCTTTAGGCTTTTTATCATAGGAAGATGAGTAGCAATAAGGTTCACTCCCATGGGAATGTGCCTTTTTCATGGGAGAACAAACCAGGGGTCTCAAAGGTAGGGGCTCAAGACCGCCGTGAAGATGACCGGAAAATCGCGGTGAAGCTACCGCCTCCACCATGCCCGCCAGAGACTGCTAGGGCGGCATCGTTTCATGATCTGCAGATTCCTCTTCCTCCATGTGGTTTTCAAGCTCCTCTGAGAAGCTCTTCCAGGAAAAGTGTTAAAAATAAGGATGACCCTTTTCTGATGGCTTATAGAGAGTGCACCAAGAGTAATGGAAAAGGTAAGTTATCAAGTAGAGATGATGTCGGGCTTGGATCTAAGAAGAACATGTCCTTTTTTTCATGTAAGCGTTCATGCAGTGTGAGGGAAGATAGTTTAATCAGAATCTCTCAGCTTCCCATCTCAAAATCTCAGAGAGAGAGAGAGATGGGTTCTTAGTTCATCCTTGAAGTCTGATTTTTGAGAAAGAGATCCTTATAAATATCATGATAACCAAATAATAGTGTACTGTGTTTTGATTCAGGTGGTCATTTTAAGAACATATTATGCTTTTAGATTTCATTTAATTGCCACGAGCTCATTGATCTCAATACACTACTCAAATCATTTAAATATCAGCATAAAACTATACTTCATAAATTTGGTTATTGTTTACCAAATGTTATATTCCAAATAATGTGTCAAAATCTTATGTATTGAACGTTTAATAAAAATTTGCAATACGCGTAATTCTGATGTAAATAATCTACCTTTGATCAAACCAGAGAGATAATTAATCGAAATGCACATGAACTCACCTTTGAAAGAGCAAAAAAATGGAACGTTTGGTGGAAGTTATTAGAAACTGATATTTGGATAATGCGCTTACAATAAGAAACTATACTGACAACAAATTTTGCAACACAATGATTTACCCTTTTATTAGTTTACCTACGGATGAAAAATTATCATCAACATCAAACACCTTGAAAAGCAATGGGAGAAGCCGAATTTGGACACAAACATTAATCTAATCCAACATCTCTACTCAAAGAAAAAGGCTTTAGACCTCCATCAACACCATTACCAACGAACATCCTTGTTAATAGGAACCTCGGGAATGACAGTCAAATGAAAAGTTACATAATGAAGTTGCAGAAGTACAGAAAACATGCATAACAAGAGCAAGGACTTTAAGATATTTTATATCCTACAGTTAAGAGAAAAACAAAAGCTTTCAACTAGGCTGCAGAGGTGGTTGTCTAGACGGCTTAAAGCTTATGTAACCTATGACTGAACATATGGAGAGTAATCTGTTACAAATACCTGAATTTTACTCCGACGCACGAGCCAGTAAAGCATTATTGAACATTTTTCCAATATTTGCCACAATCTTTCCAGGATTACAAACCAATACACGGTTGCACCAACCAGTGGCTTCTATTGTTAAGTCGGTGTTGGCTGTCTGGGCTAGTTTGAGATCATTTGATGTATTCATCTTCTGGTTCCCACTCCTTAGTATGCTGGCTTCTTTAGATTCTTCAGTCTATTCGATCTCCTGATTACAGATTTATCAGGGGTTGCATTCATTTCGGTTTCCCCTCCAAATAACTTGCTAGCGCGGGATACATTTGAAGCATTTACCCTAGTTTCCATCCACTCACATCCGTTCCCAGGTGCCTCTGCTAGAGAAGATGAATCACTTGAATTCTTCAGTTCCCTCAATCTCCTGGCTGCATATCTAAATGGAGTTTGCTTAACTTCTGTTTTGTCTTCAGATGATATATTTGCATGCAAAGCACTAGAAGCATTTCTTCTGGTTCCTGAGTGTCCACATTGGCTCCCTGAGGACTCCGATGCAGAAAGTGGTTCACTAAGCCCATGCTTTGTAGAAGTGGTCATGCTTCTTGTGGCTACACGTTTGGTTAAGTTATGAACATCCTTCCCCATCACAGATTTACAAATAGATCCATATGTCGTCATGTGTCTTACATTTGAGATACCAGTAGCATCTTTACATTTCTGGTCAACCTTAGTTCTCTTATTGTTACTTGGGCTTTCATCTGGAATATCCTCTGTCATTCCCCGATTATTACTTGCCTTGTTTGAATGACATGGTGATCCATTATGTGCAAAAGCATTGTCACTGCATTTTTGCAGTATATCATTAAAAATACTCTTAGTTAGCAAACAATTCTCTGGCTCCCCAAGTGTGGACATGAAGAGATCACGTGTGCGGGTTACTGTGAGGTCATCAATGGATAAAGGCAAGAAACTGACTGTGTCATCATCTGGGGACGTGAGGGACCCGTCTAAACAAGTAACCCGTGATTTATCAGCGCCATTTAGAGAGTCCTCACTAAAACATTGAGTAGCATACTTTTCCCAGTCATAAGGAAATCCAAAAAGGAAATGATTGCAAACCTGTTCAAATTTAAAATTTGGACTTCCTTTAGGAGGGGAGAACCAGACCATAAGGATGGAAGATGCAACATCAGAACAATAGCATAAAAGCAATTTCATTTTGTTGAATGTGCATCCCCTGCTACATTCAGGCTTTTACTCTTAATATTAATAATGTTTACAGAACATGGATTCAGGATCTGCAACATCTGTTTTGGTTTCACCCAAAAAAACTACAATCTGATCACTTGAAATAGGGCTATCAGCAAATAAATTTGAGATTGTGATTCATAAGCCAGGATGAAGAGAATCTTACCAAAAGAATTGACATACCTTTGGCAGAAAGCCATTTTGGTGTGAGAGGGTCCTATTTATGAGACCACAAATTGTAATTGTTATGCCATCTACAGTCTCAAGAGTGACAGTATCGTGCCTCTTGGCAATTGCTGCAGAATGAAAGAGTCTTATTCCTTGTCCCCTGTGGTACGAATGCAATAAACACTTGGGTCAACAAAGAGTGTATCCTATAGTTCTTGACGATTGACAGGAAGTCAAGAAGAAAATAAAAAACTTTTGAAGTATCAGAAGCCTTCATGATCATGGCAGAGTTAAGAGTTTGGCAATCTTCTAGAAGGATGTTTTTTTTTTTTTAATTTAGGTAAACTGGATTAGAGGTCCGAAAAATGGCCAAAAGAAGTGATCATCATTGTGAATCATGTGATCAAGGCCAGAGATCTGGCCTACAAAATAGGAGCAACCTTCTGAGGTACAAGTGCAAAGGTCCAAAAACTTATATGAAAGCACTGCACAAATGTTGTCAACAAAACAAAAGTGAAACTGGAGGGTTATAAGAAACCTGAGCAGAATGAATTTTCCTTTAATGTCGTCGAGCATGAGCATTCCATATGTGTAAAAGGACTTTTATTAAAATACAACTCATGTCTTTAATTAGAATAAAGTCATGAATAAATCCTGCTTTTGTATTCACACGTTATGGCATTGTATGACATGTTATATAAATCACGCCTCAAATGAAAACAATATGGAAATCTAAAGTTGCAACACGCATAAACAACCACCCCATAAATCCATGATAGCCATTGTTTATAATTTTTGTTCTTCCCTTCATGCCTCACTGCATGGACATAGGAGCTATGCCATTAATCAAGGCAGTCTCGTTTTGATTCATGAACAACAAGCAATTTGATTAGAGGGTAAAATGCATCATTTTTTGGATTAATACTGCTTGCCCAATTTATTGTGACTTCTGTGTTTCTGGGTTAAGATACTTGTATTTGTTATAGTTTGTTGTGATTATGTGTTTTGGGGGTAATGTACTTTTTGAAAACAATTGTTTTACTGATTCTGTGATTTTCTTTGGATTTTCCCAATTAGTCACGTCATTCTGAGAGTCGACATTTTCCCCCTCTGACGTGATCTTTGCATGATTGAGGGTTCTTTTTGTTGTTTTCTAACTGATGAAAATATGGGAAAAAATGTTGATATTTTGTTGGTTTCAGGGTACAGGTAGGGGCCTATTTGGCTGTAATTTAATGTTATTTTGCAATTTGGCAGAAATGGATGGACTTCTTGACAAAATCATACACATTACACAGCATGTCCTTTGATCACATGACTGCTCCCTGATGGTGTCACTTACATGATTAAGACCCACAGTCAAAATCACACTTGTGCAAGGCAGAACATTAACAGGGAAGCTAATTATGAGTGGACAGCTAGCAAATTGGTGAAAAAACTAAGGGCAAACAATTACAATGCATCAGAAGCTACGTCAATGAAGTTCAATAAGGAACTTGGGATAGAAGCAAGTGGGATGATGTTTTACAGGATAGGAGAAAAACATTAGAAGAGATTGAGGGCAATCATGCTGAATCATATGGGATAATGCCACAGTATGCCTATCAATTAACGATGCTAATGAGTGTGTGGCCTCTGCAAAGTTCTGCTAAATTACAGTATATCTTTGATCTTCCTTGATATTTTCAGGATGAACCGAGTGAGAGATAGGAGCAAAGGCTCTGTATTAGGATTGAATGACATAAAAATGCAAATTTAAATGAAAGATATATGCAAATGAAATGAGGGTAATTTTGTCAAAGGAATGTTGGGACATCTATGCTATTAAGACTCATACGAGGGGTAAGCATGTCCAACCATGTGATTTTTTAAAACTGATGTTAATCCTTGAAATCAGTCCAAACCAAAGGGGTTGTCATTGTAATTATCCCAAATGATATCATCTACCCATAAAATGTTCATTTACTCAAAACAGTACAAGTGTGCATTTTAACCACATTTGCAAAACTATTTGGATGGGAAAAGATTAAATAAGGGGGGAAAAGAGGAGGAAGAAGAATGGAAGAAAGAGGAGAAATTGAAAACCCCCATTTCTGACTAAATTTTCAATTTCCTAAAAGCTCTTACTCTTATCCAATGTCATTTTTTTTTTCAGAAATTACCCTGCTATCACCAAAAGCATTCAAAATCATAAGAGTTTACTTAAGTAATCAAAATTACTCAAAATATTACTTCAAGAAGTTGCAATTTAGTCCAGAATCATAGAAATTGCAAGAGTATTGAGAAAATAATAACTGAAGGAAGAAAGAAACGTGTTACTCTCTAGAAGCAAACCCTCCAACACCTATTTGTTTGCCTTCAGACTCCCTATCAGCCTTAATCAACCACCAATCATGCAAAAACACCTGTAAGAACAATTCCAAAATTATAAATACATACATATATATATAGTAGTTGAACAATGTTAACAACAAAGTGTGAACAATGTTAACAACTTAACATGCATCCTCAAGTTAAAAAGTTATCCACGCTCCAAATCATATTGTAGCAAAAGATAATAATTTATTACATGGCCACATTATAGCGATTACACAGATACTATCATAACCTTAGTGGAAATGAGGACAATGGCCACCTTACAGCGATTACCCTGATATGATGCTGAGAGAAGTAACATGAATTTCAACATTGGGTGTATTCAATATTCCCAAATAAAAGGGAAAATTGATCTATGGTCAATTTTGTAACAAATAAATAGGAATTTCTATAATCTCAGTGGAAATGATGCCCTCACTATAAATTCATCATCACTGAATTGTGACATTATTCCACAGATAACTTCAATGGTCTCCTTCCTTGATCAGGTGCATAAAATCTGAGGACGATGAACCATGAGATGAACTCTAGTTCAAACTGAATAATGGAGTAATGGGAGGGACGCAAATTCCGGTGCCTGCGGCTACATACTCAATCCAGCAACCACTGGTCACAACGAACCCACAAGACAATCAAGTTGATAAAAATGCAGAATTCCACAATCCACGGTAGAGAACTCATCAACCAAGTGAATATTTAATTACAGAGAAAATTGAAAGGAAAAAAAAAATCACCCTATACTTAATTTGCAAAGTAAATTGAAAGAAAAATAAAGATAATAGTGAGTTGAGTCACAGTCGATGAAAAATTATAGCAGTCATTTGTATTAGCTATCAGTTGAGTACCACATCAAAGAAACAGTTTTCAGTCCAGTTTATATGCCCAAGTAATTAAAACCCTAATATTCAAAAGTTTATAGCTTTTTTATTTCTTCATATTTTCAGCAACCAAACAGAGCATGGAACAGTAAAAACAAAAGAAAAGCAAGAATGCTATACAGAAAACTCAAAGCTCACCACAGTCAAGCTTGAAAGAGAAGGGTTCGTCCCTATTCCTCGTCGAAACAAACTAGGTTCCATCAAGCAAAGTAGCAGCGTAGTGATCTGAAAAACGAAGAGAAGAAAATTGTTAGTAAGATGAACAAAAACGAAAAGGGTATAATAAAATGTAAAGACTTTGGGTTGAAAACTGGGTAGATTACCAAATCAGAAACAACTGTGTTAACCCAGCACGAAAAAAAGACAAGTAGGAAAAAAACCTGGGAACGGAATGAAATCGAAAAGATTTCCCCCAACCAAAATATACCTTTCTCGCGCCTCGAAGGGCGTTGGAGCAACCCTCCATTGGGTATGAAAGGAATAAACTTTTCTTTCGTCACGGAAACAAAGTTATTTCCACTCTATTTTGTTTGCCAGAGGGATAAAAAATAAAAGATACATTTTTTTTATTGTTTGATATTAGATAAAAAATTAAAGAAAAGGAAAATCATGTATCCCTGATTGTATAATTATACCCTTTAAATATATATATCAAGTTATTTTGTGTTAGTAAAAAAATAAAATTTTCGAGTAGCACAACAAAATAGCATAGCGGCCCAGATACCACTGCTCCACAACCAGGAACACAAAACTCCAACACAGCTCAAAAAACACAATCATATTGTAGTACTCGCCAAAAGAATGAAGCAGCCAAAACTAATCTCCCCCATTCATTCTTGACCACCACACCTCCTCCTGCCAAATCCGAATTACCTCTAGAAGCTTTATACAATCACTTACTGAGAATGGGTAAAGATACGGTACCCTTATATATATACTAGTCATAATTTATACCTGAAGACACGATAAAATATAAAATTCGAGTATCTAAAAAATTGATTCCACCATATTAAATTTTTTCAAAATATATTAACTATAAATTAATTAAATATTAAATGATTAAATATATAATAAAAATGAGTGGTGTGATATTTTTAGAGAGAAAATATATAAATGATTAAATATGTGATAGAAATTAGTGATGCGATTTAACGTTTGAGTCTGACAAATAGATGATGGGTGAGGTAAGTGATTGGTGATAGTTTTGAGGGGAAAAATATGACTGGAATAAAATTCAAACACACTCCTGTTTTATTATATACTAGTCATTACCTGTGCCTGAAGGCACTATACAACAAACAAATTTTTTTTAAACAATTGTCCAATTCAAAAGAAATTTCCTAAAAATATTTATACAAATATTATTCTTTTAAAATGACTCAAAATATATTGTCGATTATATCCTCCATATTAATGGAACTATTATCAAAATATATAAAAACTCTTCAAAATAACACTATATATACAAATGCCTATGAAAAAAAAAAATAGTAACATAATCCATTAAAAATTACAATCTTTAAGCAATAAATTAAATAAATAAAATCTTGTTCATTTATAAGACTCACGAATTATCATCTCTACTAACACTACATCCAATAACACAACATAATTATCAACTCAACTACCATATTTTCAATCCACCCTATCTCCATGTAATTAATATCTCAAGCAAAAAAAAATATATAACATAATACAATTAAATTTACAATCTTTAAACGGTAAATGAAATCAACTAAATTTTGCTTTTTTATAAACTCGTTAATTTATCATTACTATCACCATTCAATCTCAAATGACACAATATAATTATAAATTTAATCACTAAATGTTCAATCCTCCACATGTAAATATGCACAAAAACACACTCACATATTTCTTTTTTGGTTACTATCAAACTCTTGTAACCAATAATTGCTTTTATTAGAAATACAATAATTTAAGTTTTTAAGGTAAAATAATAATATATTAATATTTAATTAAAAAATAGGGAAAAAACTAAAAATCATGAATATTCCATGAGTTTTGAAAATATTACACGAATACCTCATGATATTTTATAAATAACACAGAGACCCCCTAATATTTGTTATTCATTACATGGAGACCCCCTCTGTCTCCCTTTCGTCAATGTTGCAAACGAAAATTGATAATTTTATCCTAAAAAAATTTATTATTTTTACATTTGTCCTTGTCCAAATTTAGTACCAACAAAAATAAAAATTTAATAAAATAAAATAAAATTTGATTTAGTACTCAAAAAATTGAATAAATAATTTTTAATATTAATTTGATATTCTATAAAGTTGAATATAAAATAGAGAAAATTAAGTGTCAATTTTTGATAAAAATATATATTAATTTACAATCTAAGGTTCATTTTATGTTAAATATTATTTGGTGTTTATAGTTAATGTGCTATTTTTTATTTACATTCGGTGTTAATTACAAATTTAGAAACAAGTGACAAAATACATACGGTCAGATATATAAAAATTTTGAAATAGTTTAAAGGAATAAATAATTGGATGACATGTAGTTTCATATGTTTTATGGAATAACTAATAACAAAAACAACACAAGAGAAAAAAAATAATAATAGTATGGGAGAGAGAAAGTGTGGTAAGATAGATAGATAGATAAAAATAATTATATGAGAGACTTAGAGTTGTAAAAAGAATAAAAATCTAATTAGGACCATCAGATCAAAACGATTTAAGCAGTGAAAAGCTAAAGACAAATAATCTAATATTTTATTATATCGATATAGAGAGAGAGAGGAGATGAGATAATGTATTTAAAACGTTTAAGAAAGAGAGAGAGTTATATGAGAGATAAAAATATTAGAGTTAAGTTCAATTATGACCGTCAGATCAGTATTTATGAGATGATCTGAACTGTATTTTATGTTGGAATTACGTTGTCCGTTGAATATGTTTATGTTTTGTCTCAAAACGATTTGAATCTCTATTTGTTTCTGGATTCAAATTTATTTCTACTTTATTATATATATATAGAGAGAGAGAGAGAAAGAGAAAAATAACAAAAAAATGGAGGAAAATAGCTGAACTTTACCGGATGATGGCAACTTTGGTCTGAAGTAGCCGAAAATCCAACGGGAACACCATTAATTTTGTCGATCGAGTTTTTCGTCTCGTTGTCCAATGTGTCGTTGCCCATGATCCATAAAGAAGTGGGTTTTATTATAGAACGTATGAAAAGGTAAAAAAGTAAAATAATTATTCAATTGTCAAATTCTTTTGTTTTCTTTTAATTTTTGGGAAAAAACAAATTATCGGCGGAAGGAAAAGCCTTCCCTCCAATTTTCCTTTCCACCATTTTTTATTTTCATATCAAACAATAGAAAACTTTTTCATCCATCCCATTTTCTTTCTCTCATTTTCCATCCACCTCATTTTTCATCATCAAAGCTAAAGGACCATAAGACAACAGGTTTAGTGGGACTATTTAAGGAGTGGATTAAAGTATTATAAACAAATTACATTTAGTTGTCCAAAATATTCATATTATATATAATTTTATTTTGTATACATGTAAAATGAATATAAATTAAATATTCTCTATCTTTACGGAGCATATTTTAATACCATAATTAAATTTATAAACTAATTATAAATGACAGTTAATTTGTAAAAAATTTTAATTGTCAAATTTACTCCCAAATAAGAATACATAGTCATTTTTAACATTTTTAAACTCTTTAATTTTTCAAGTTAAATATTTTAAGTACAGTCACCCGACCTTACACACATTTTGTTTTAACTGCAATTAAATTATATGATAACTATGACAAGTCAATAATAATTTTGAAGTTACGTCCTCACATAATTTAGTTCACTCTAAGTGGGGTCGGGCCTACTCTAAGGCCATCAAAGCTTGGGCCCAATTTTTGAGTTAGGCTCTATTTTTTGTAATTATAATCACTATCATAAATATAAAATTTTAATTTTATATAAATTAAGTCCAATAATAAAATTAAAGTTATATTTAAATTGAATAATTTGGGCGTATTTCTCCGGCCCATGACACCAAAAATATAATAAAAATAATTTTTTTAAAAAAAATAACAGTCAAAATTTGATATTTTCAACAATTTTTTCCAACCCTCTCTCCCTGATTGGTAAAAGAGTTTGGAAGACCAACAAATTTTCGCTTCTACTTTATCTATCTATATCTCTTGCTCTCTCTTTTTAGTTAGCAAAAAGTCAACTAATCTACTTTTTTTTTTTTTTTCCCGGCTACATTTGTTTGTTTATTTGTTATTTTTATACACTATAAATTCACAAAATCCATAATTCTCTATTAGCATTATCATTTTAAGTTTAGACAGTAGACATCTCAAAAAACAAGAAGAATAAATTTTAAATAAAATATTATTTTTAAAAATAAAAGCCTTTTGTTTAATTGTTGTTTTAGACCTCAAAATGTCACGAGTCATCACTGACTCTATGTTTAGGGATAAGATTTGGTACATGATAAAACTAAGTGTGAGAGTTATAACTGGGATAATCAGGTCAAAAAATTCCTTAAGGAGGATAATAGACGAGCTAAATGAAAATTAAGGAAGAAATAAAGTGACCTAGGTATAATAGAGCCTCGAAAAAGAGGTCACAAAGTTAGAACAACTGTATTAAGGCCCACATCGGTTAGTGTATTTTTTTGTGTATTTTTTTTTGATTCAACAGTTAAATATATTTGAACTAATTTATGCGTATTTGGACTAATTTATGCCTATTTTCATGTATTAAGGTATTTATGAGAGATAGTTTCCTCATAATTTACATTAAAAAGTTATTAAAATTCGAATTCAGAATGTCAAAATTCACAACTCATTCTTATTATCATGTACAGTACCCTAAAAATTTATCTTTTCGTCTTTTGCATATGCAACATCTATTTTTTTATTAAAAAAAAAAAAGAAAACTAATTACTCGATGTTAGGCCTCTCTTTGTAAACTAGGGCAAAGATGTAGCAAGAAGGGGAAAGTCGGGTCCAATACGATATAAAAGCCCAGGTCCATTTTGTATCCATGCCTGGGGTCGGTGACGTCCATTGGTTTGCGAATTGTGACTCGTTTTTGATACTTCTAGGTCATCATCAACTTCGCAGTTCGCAGTACCCCAAGCCTTCAATTCTGGTCTCTTTTACCACTTTTCCGGCAAGTCTCCGCTGCAGTTTTTGCTCAGGAAATTTCATTCTCGCTTTCTTTATGGCTATAGATTAATGTATACGACATAGATACATACAACCCGACGCATGAAGCACTTTTCTGGTTATTATCCGCTTTGATTTCTGCTCTGGTAATCGCATTTTCTTGTTCTTTCTTGCTATACTCTGTGTGTGTGTGTGTGGCTCTCTCTTTCTCTCTCTATATATATATGTATGTATATGTATATGTACGCGTTCTCATTTGCGGTTGGCACGGTTGTGTATTGTTCTTTCCATTTTCTCCAATTTCTAGGGTTTTGGTTTCAGGTCCATATTGATTGCGATAAATAGTGAGAAAATACTTTGCTTTTTTTTTTTTTTTTTTTTTTATCTTTGAAGCGCTAAATCCAAATCTAATATGATGAACTGTGAGAACTCTGGAATGCCAGTGATGGCTCTTTTTCCCCAAGAATCTCATCCTAAAAATCGATGATATTGTGTGCATCTTTGGTTTCTCTGCCATGTACAAAATATAAAAAAAGACACGTCTAGGATTGCAGTGTACCTGTTGGCTTAATTGACGTGCTCAATCAGTTTTTTTTTTCCTGTGGGTTTATAATGGGACCCATGTGATGCATGACATTTTCACCCCGTCCCTTCCCCCAGCATATTTTAGTGTTGGAGAGAGAAGAAAAGAGGAAGACAAGAAGTTAATATACAAAAAGGAGTGGAATGTTATAGAAGAAGTGGTAAGGGGTTGGGGGTTACATTAGTTAAGGATACAAAATTGATATGATATAACTGCTGGCAACAATTTCTTTGATTGGGAAAATCTGAATTGTTGAAGAGGAGGTTGTATGCCAAGCACTTAGATCTTATCGCAAGTTTGATCCACAGTATATTCGGTCCTTTCCACAACTCCTAATGAAGTGGACTGGAGGAATCTATCAGTTTGGTTGCTTCCAGTTATTGACAAATTTAAGCCATCATTGAATGTAATTAATAGCTATTAATGAGTTTTGTGGACAGTTCTCACCTCAGAAGTAAAGCTTTTTATGGTGCAGCGATGTTAATGTGGGGTTCAAAATACTGGTATGGTGTGATCGTGGGATGACATTATCACATTACAGTTCTAAGATGTAAACATTTGAAGTCTCAGTGAACTTATTCAATTTGACATATAAAAATATGGTATCTGTAACATAGTTCTACAGAAATCTTATATGGGAGTGTAGGACTGGAATATTGTAGCCATTAGCATCTATCTCAATTGATATTTTATCACAAGGGAGAATCGTTGTAACGTACCTTTAGTTTTCTCTTGTCTCTATTCCAATAGTGTTCATTGGTTAATAGATGACAAAGAATTTAATAAGTATTAAGGGGAAGAAACTGGGGAAGAAATCGAAGACTTTTGGGCTTGCGGACAACTTATGGAAAATTGAAGATATTAGAAGTAATGCTTATGGAGCTGTTCAATTCCATTGATATTGGTGTGTACTATGTAAGTATTGCCCAAATTTACTATTTTGCCCCATTTTTGGGGTTCAAAATTTATCTAAGTGGATATATCACATTTTGAAACTTGTAATGCATGTATATAAGCTCTTATATGAACATTCTTCTTTTTCGTTAAAGCATGAGAATGTTTTCCAGTAACACTGCATGACTGATGTAGGCTTTTCTGTGTTATTGCCACTCAGATTATGAGCAATTTACTTGGTTATCTGATTGAAACAGTTTGTGGATATTTGAATACTTATTTATCCTCTTGGTCATGGTCCTTCACTTGATTATGTTTACAATCTTCTAACAATTTTTCAATTCTTGTATCATGCAAATGTTGATGTTTGAGTGTATTGCTAATGAAGTGATACTCTCTGCAGCTATATTTTGGAGATTCGCTTATGTGCAGGAATGGCCAATAACCATCAGTCGTCTGGTGCACAGGTGCATGTAATACCTCTGGCATGATTCCTTCCATTGTCTTAGTATGAAGCAAGATTAAAACAGATTTTTGGTAAAAACCTATGAGGCATGAATATTTCATCAAGGTCGATGTACCCTTATTGGATACGATACTCGTTGGATATTTGAGGGTACATATCAGATACGCATCATACGTATCTGATAATTAATTAAATATGTGGAAACTTCACGGATATCTCTAAATATGGAGTAAGATGCACAATTTGTAATTTTAATCAATACCCTTTTCTTTCCAGTTTACATATAATACAAAAAATCAACGAAATTTGATTTGACTTTGAAGATACGAGTGTTTTTTAAGAATTATCTACTATTACATATCAAAAAAGTATAAAAGAATGAGTTAGTTACATTATAACGTTATAAATAAATGCTTGTAAGCAAACCAACTAGCCAAATGTTGGTTCTAATTCTTTTAATTGATCATGTTCACTTTATGGATATGTTATTATAAATGAAATTACTAATTTTGTTTACTATTCTTAAAGAATTACTAAAAAATATAATTTTTTAGTTGTTAAATAATAGTAAAATATAAAATATATATTTTGTTATAGACGAATTCCAGTGATACCCGTATCTTTCTTTTTTAGGTTTTGTCGTATCGTATCATACCCGTATCCCATATCATCTGTGCTTCCTAGGTAAAAACAAGTTGCATTAATATATTTAATCTTTCAAGTGTATCATTTTAAGTGCCAAAATATTAGTTATTTCCTTTACACATTGGGTGGGGCTGGTTAACACTTGTCCCACTCAGATGCATACCATTGTGCAGTTGACCCATTCTAATGGAATTAGTATGAAATGTGGATATAACAAGTTTATTTTTTGCGAATTTCTAAATAAATTGTCAACTTCTTTGAGATATGCATTTTTCCTCAGAAAATAGTCATATTAAGAATAATTTACCCCCCTTCCTCTCCCCCCCCCAAAAAAAAAAAAAAAAAAAAAAAAAAGAAGTAGCTGGGTATGCCTATAAAACTCGTTTACTCTGTTGTGTTTAATAATATTCTTTTACTGCTCCTAGGGACTGGATTATTGTTTTTTTTCTTTTTGACTAACGTGTAGCTGCAATGTCGTAAGCTCTAAATTTCTCTCTTTCTTTCTATCTTTGTTATGATAGCCTCTTCGACCACCTGCAGTATCATCCATGGTCCCTCAAAGTTTTGGTCCACCATATCAGATGCAGGTATGTTACTTCTTTTAAGTTTGGCGACTTCTCTTATCTGCTTGTTTTATATTTAATAAATCCATTTGGTGCAGTTTCGACATGTGGTTCCAGCTCAGCAAGGACAGCCTTTTATTGCAGCGGCTTCAACTTCTCAGCAATTTCATCCCGTTGGACAAGGTATATCTTCACCAAATGTCGGAATGCCTTCTGGTCAAAGTCAGCTGCCGCATTTTTCTCAACCAATGCAGCAGTTACCTCCAAGGCCAGGCCAGCCTGGTCATGCTACACTGTCCTCACAGTCAACTCCCTTGCCTTACAATCAACCAAATATGTCTTTCGCATCTGGCTTACCACATTCTCAGCATTCTGGCCACCCTCTAAATAACCAATTGCCTGGTCTGGGTAGTTCCGGAGCGCCTGTGTCTTCATCATACACCGTAAGAGATGACATGTATTTTTTTTTAATTTTTTGTCTTGGTCTACCTTCAGAATTTATTCGTAATTTTGGGTTATTTTTCCCAGCCTCAAAATAATATGAATGTGTCTTCTCAGTTTCAACCTTTATCGCAAATGCATGCACCCATCGTCCCTGTCGGGGGGCAGCCCTGGTTTTCGACTGGAAGTCATGGCGCAACTGTGCAGCAGACTGGGCCACAGCCTTCGGCTGCGGCTGCCACGGCAACAGTGAGCATTCCTTTACAATCAGACACGTCTTATGCTTGTTCGAGCATTATCTTGGATGGTTAATTACTTTTTTGACCCTTTAATTTTATACCGATATGCACCTCAGTCTTTGATCTCTCCTATATGTCAATTTGATCCTTGAACTTTCTGATTTGAGTCTAGAGAGTCCTAATTATGGACCAAATTGAAGTCCTAAATTATCAAATTCAAAAGTTTATGGACCAAATTGACAGAAGAAAAAGACTAGGCAGTTCAAGGAGACTGATTCATGGGAGTGAGCCAAGGACATGGCTGGTACTGCAGGAGGCTCTCTTTGGATCTCGAATGAAGTTCAAATTGGTGCAAAGTTCAAGGGCAAAAAGTCTATTTAATCATAACTTTGATTAATCTCGACAATATTATGACTACAAGCCTTCAAATCACATTCAGACTTCAAATATTAATTGGATGGGGACAAGGATAACCTTATGGGATGTTCAGTGCTAATTTATAAAACTACTAGCAATATCCCTTGACTAAAGACACTATACACTGAATTATAACACTGTGCATGCATTAGAATGTGTGTGTTGAAGTGTATGTATGTAGGTGTAGTTGTGTGTGTTGGGTTTTTGAAATTTGGGGGGGGGGGGGGAAGTGTGTGTTGGGTGTGTGAAATTTGGGTGGAAAAATATACCCCCCATAAGTTCAAACACCTATCTAATTTATTATATGGATAGGAATTCAGTTATGATGTCGAATTGGGAGGTTGCCTATCTGATATTATTTGGTTCATCCTTCCCCACAGTAAAAAGTGCCTTATTATTTCTGGGTCAAGTAATTTTTCATTTTGGGTATTTCAGGCCGTAAATGTTTCTGATACTGCTCAACATACTCCATCTGATTGGCAGGAGTATGAAGCTGCTGATGGGAGAAGGTGAATTATATTTATGGTTGCAGATCTTGTTACTTCATTGTTTTCCATTGCCTTGTTTGTTACATGATATTTTTTGTTAATTCACTGTACTATTCATTTAGGACTCTGTTAGTTCTAATTCTTTGTTACACTTTTTCATGCCGGCACTATTGACTTCTAGTTTTGAATATCGGTTCATGGTTTGTACATATATTCAGATATTATCACAACAAAAGAACAAGGCAATCTAGCTGGGAAAAGCCTTTGGAATTGATGACACCTATAGAGGTGAGCCATGTCGCTGTCTAGTGTCTTCTCTTGAGATTTGAATGCAGTATCCTTTCACCTGCAAATCATGCTTTTGGATTGTTCTGCAATTTGTACAAACTTTGTTCCATTTTATGGATGTTGACAATTTGTAGCCATACTCAAACCATTCAAAATCGTTTTATGTGAATTCTCCTTCTCTTTGCATGTCCTTCCACTGGTTTGTAGATGTCATGGCAAGTCAGGGGAAAGTAACAACTGCTCTGTAGGCTCCCTTTGGAAGGTGGTTTCAGTTTCTCGAGGCAGGCAACAGTTTGCTATTTACATTTACTATTATTATGTGGGGACATTAATCATGTGAAATTGGTTTTTGGATGCTGTTATTGCCGAGTAGTAGCATATTAATAGTCCTTTTCAGTTTTAGTTTTTTAGCATTTCTTTCCTAGTTGGGGTGAGTTTGGTTTGACTTTTGTTTCAATGTTTTTCTTTTGTCGTGAATTTTAACTAATTGATTTGTGCTATATTCCTCCTTGTTCCTGTGTGATTATGCTGTACAATTACTTATATAGATACACATACACACATACATTGATGTCACAGAATTTTGGTTTATTCTGATCATATTGTGTGCTTCTTATATACACAATGGCTTTGTATTTGTGTACTTATGGTTCTATGGTTTGTGGACTATAACTTGGTCGATGTCTCTACTCTCTAATGGGGTTCTACAGGTACAAGTTGTGCTGCGCATACTCGGAGGTATTAATGGCAATAGTGCTTTCTGTAGCAATGAGTAGTATGCAATCTCTGTCGATAATTTTTGTTACCTTACATTATTGTTGATTTTCTTTGGTAGGTTCTTGTCTTTTCTGTAGGCTTATTATAATATGTATAAACCTTTAGAATTCTTGCACATACTTTTCAAGTGTTATCTTTTTTCTTCTTCCTTATTTTTGTTGTTGGAGATGAAAGCTTCAGGGGTGCATCCACCGAACTTTTTGCTTGCCACGTTAATACGTTTGGTTATTCCAAGAAACCTGTAGATTTATATGCGTTGGGTGTATATGTATTAGTATTTTTGATTGATATCTTCAATGTTTGCTTTGAGTGGAACCTTGGTGCATTCTTGTAGTTATGAATACAGATAGGAGAAAGTTATATGTAATCTATTTTTGTCTCATGGCTTTGGATAAGAGGTTAATTTCAATATGGATGTTATGATAAGCATAATAGGAGTTGTTACCGGGATACACAAAATTACAACTTCCAATATAATTTTAGAAGAACATGGGATGGTTTATTGGTTATGAGTCACACTGCACATGGTGCGAGTTTAAGTCCCATCCTAAGCAAATGAACCCCCCTCTCCCCACCCATCTTATACACACAAATGAAGGAAAGGATATAGGTCCCTGAAGGATGGGCTAGACTTACATGAATTGTATGTTTGCAGATACATGCTTTGCTTATGTTGCTGACCTCCCTGACGTCTTATTTGTGATTCTTTAGGGTTTTCCAGTCTCCGCCCTTCTTCCCATGATAGGCAATTATTGCGGAAGTTAGGTTATGTCTGGGCCAGTATACATGCTTTCTTATGTTTCCACCCTTCTTCCCCTGATGGGCAATTATTGCGGAAGTTAGGTTCTGTTTGGGCTAATACATTTATTCCACAAAAGAGTGTGGGCCTTTCATGGCAGGTATCAGGGGTGTGATTGACTACTTTGGGTGACTTAGGTTGTCTGTCCATTTTTTTCCACAGCAATGTCTGTCCAGTACGTGAATGTGTGTTTGTTTGTGCCGGGCTATTCTTCTTCTTATTATTCATACATTACAAAGTATTCATCTGACCTTTAATTTGCTGCTATTTAATCTGGAGATGGATTATGATTTTTCTTGTCTGAATTTAAATGTCCTGTTGCCAATAATTTTTGGCTCCAACAGAGGGCTGATGCATCAACTGTTTGGAAAGAATTCACAACTCAAGAGGGCAGAAAGTATGTTGCAACATTCCCCATTCTTACTGTTGTTTAATTGAATCATTTGAACTAATGATGCTGGTATATATTTTTGGAAAATCTGATTCATCATCAATGGGTTTTGTTTGGACTTTTGCAGGTATTACTACAACAAGGTTACGAAGCAATCTAAATGGACAATACCTGACGAATTAAAGGTTTATTGCATGACTTGTTCAAAAGCATTTTTTCCCTTCATACTTTGTTGACTCGCTTGTGTATATATGCTACCAGTTGGCCCGTGAACAAGCCGAAAAGGAAGCTACCCAGGGGACACATTCAGAAATGGGTATGACCTCTACTGCACCACTTGTGGCAACAGCCTCCTCAGTTGAACAATCATCTGTTGCTGTTATTTTGGTTAACTCGCCCGCTTCTGCGACAATAGCTGGGGTAGCTTCAAGCCCCATTCCAGTTACACCTGTTGTGGCGGTTGCTGATGCTTCCTCTATACTGGCTTCTGGATCATCTGTCATTCCTTCTGTACCTTCTGCTTCTGCTGCCACAAGTGCGGTTGATGTTTCCTCTCCTGGGGAAACAATTTCTCCCTCACCTGCTGCTGTTACAGGAAGTATGGGAACTGCTGTTGCTTTGGCCAGTGCCTCCATGACGGCTATGTAGGAATCATCATTTGCTTTAGTTTTTTTTAACAAAATCAGTATTGACTTAAGAATATTGTTATAGTTTTGTTCTCCCTTTTATAAACTTATAAATTGCAGCAGTAGCATTGATAAGTCATCCCCTCGTGACGTTGCAAATTCTTTAGATGGAGCTTCTATACAGGATATTGAGGTATTGCCAACTCTTTTCAGACTTTGATTGGAAATTTAAATAGGCCAGGATATTTTAGTTATGGATTTTTTTGGCTCAGGTTTTAAAAAAATAAATTTTGCTCTCCTTTGCCCGGAAGCATGCTCATCTAGGCAGCTTATGATGCCAAGTACTTGTTTTTGATTTTATTTTGTGTAACTTACAGGAAGCAAAGAGGGGAATGGCTGTTGCTGGAAAAATAAATGTGACACCGTTGGAAGAGAAGTCAATGGATGATGAACCATTGGTATATGCCAGTAAGCAGGTACTGAACTAGAAGGTCCCATATTCATTCACTTCATCTTATTTCCCAAGTATGGGGCAACTATGAATACAGTCATCATTTCTTTCTTTTGCATTCACCTTTTAATTTCTATGTAGGAGGCCAAAAATGCATTTAAAGCTCTATTGGAGTCTGCAAATGTTGAGGCTGACTGGTCTTGGGAGCAGGTAGCTCAGTTACTGTTTTTGATAATTTTCTTCTCAGCTTCTTTATTGTACTTGATATTGAATTACCATGTCAGGCAATGCGAGTCATAATTAATGACAAAAGATATGGTGCCCTGAAAACACTTGGTGAGCGGAAACAGGCATTCAATGAGGTAAGCATCACGTATAATGTTCCATTAGTGGCGTTATTGTGGGGCATGCAGTTATTGAGTTTCATGGACGGGGCTTGAATTGTGTTACGTTCTCTGCTGTTTTTTTGTTCTTTTCATAGTAAGTGTCTCTTCTTTTTTCTGTCTGATTATTGCTCTTTTTTGTGTTTTATGCTAAAGTATTTGATGCAAAGGAAAAAACTGGAGGCTGAGGAGAGGCGTGTGAGGCAGAAAAAAGCAAAAGAAGAGTTCACGAAGATGTTGGAAGTATGTTTTCGTTATCATTATTGTTAGTGTTGCTTGAGGTTTGATGCCATTATTGTTGTGGCCATATTGTTCCCCTGCTACTATAGTTGGATGACCCTGGGTTTGGTGGCCACTGACTTCTGCCAGTGATTTCAATTTAGATACTTGTGCCCAATTAATATTCTAGAGAACTGCTGTAGTGAAAGAAAGTAAATTTCTATTAGTTAGGCAGCAATGGAGATTATGGATCACGCTTCTGCTATCATCATCCCTATGGCTTTGGAATTTTTTACTTGATTGATCTGATGTTTGTTTTTGTTCTCCGATTTGCTACCAGGAGTCCAAGGAACTCACATCATCGACAAGATGGAGGTACATATCTCTCTGAATGTTATAATTAGGTTTTTCTGTTGTTATTGACCCTACTTATACTACAATATAGTCAGATAATTGTCAGCATTTTGTGAGTATTCTATTTGAATTTCTTGAAAAATCAGCAAAGCTATAACTATGTTTGAGGATGATGAACGATTCAAGGCCGTTGAACGAGATGCAGAGCGTGAGGATCTTTTCAGAGCCTACTTGGTTGATCTTCAGGAAAAGGTAAGCAAGCATATTGCTGCTTCAATTGTCTAGGTTGCACATTGAAGGATCCCTCATGTTAGTTCTGTTTATCAGCCTGCTTTTCACATTTTACTTTTTGTCACTGCCTTTAGAAGATTAAAAGATGTTGTATAGATAATAAGCGGTTCTGTTATTGACTTAGAATTGTTGAGGATGCTCTATTATCCTAGCATGTATGTTCTATTATTTGTTACATTTCTTCAATGAGAAGAAATGGCGACCGGAAATTATGTAGATGTTTGGATAAATAGGATAGCTAGCATTGTTTTGGTTGTCTTGTCCCTGGCTAGTGATTTTGTCAATGCAATCTCTATTTGTAATTTTCCATATTTCCTTGTAAACATATTGTATATTTAGAGTCAGTTTGAGGGTGCTATCTTCTATGCCACCCTTTTCGCATTATCATGGCAAGTGTGCTGCCAGAAATATTGATCTTTGAACTTTTTATTTTTCCTTTTCTTAAAGTTATTTTTTTATGGGATTTGAGTGCAGGAAAAGGAAAAGGCAAAGGAGGAGTATCGGCGAAATAGATTAGAGTACAGGAAATTTTTGGAGTCTTGTGACTTCATTAAGGTAGATCTTGTTAAATCTGCTCAACATTTGAACTTGCTGTTTCCTTTTTTGAATTGTTGAAGTTTCATAGATAGTCAACCGACTCAACCCCCAGTAGTTGGGATGGGACAAGTCTTTGTTGTGTTGAGTTGAACCTCTATTTTAATAATTCATGGTCTACAGGTGAACACCCAGTGGCGGAAAGTTCAAGATCGCTTGGAAGATGACGAAAGATGCTCATGTCTTGAAAAAATTGACCGCTTGGGAATTTTCCAGGTAAGTTTCTTAGTATATGTTTGATCGTGTTAGGTAGTGCAATTCTGACATTGGCTGTTACGAACAGGATTATATCCGTGACTTGGAGAAGGAAGAAGAAGAACACAGGAGAATACAGAAGGTACCAATGTAAACTATGTGATTGATAATCATTTTTTCGATTAGATATGTGATTGGTAATCATGTCTCTTTTGACCTGTGATCTCAACATCATCTGTTGCTTAATTCAAGGAGCAACTGAAGCGGGCTGAGCGTAAAAACCGTGATGAATTTCGCAAGATGTTGGAAGAACATCTTTCTGCTGGTACTATTACAGCTAAGACTCACTGGCTTGATTATTGTCAAGAGGTAGCTCACAGTCTCATTTAGGATTAAACATGTGGTTTGCATGGTTGTCAAGGAACTGTTTCGAGGTTTGCTGATCATATTTTGTGTTATTCTATTTGTCCATGGATTTCAGGTCAAGGATTCTGCTCCTTATCAAGCTGTTGCATCAAACAGCTCCGGTTCGACACCAAAAGATTTATTCGAGGATGTTGCTGAACAATTAGAGAAACAGGTACATATGATCAATGACATGAGCGTCTGGTTGATGTTATTTATTATGTCTCTAATAGATATATTGAGTTAAATGCCATGTGGAAATATACCACTTTATCAGTGTGATACATTAACATTGTAGTCGACGCTAAATGCCAGTTTCCTTTTCAAATGCTAGGTCTAGCATTTTGTTGTCAAATCTCGGAGTCAAAACTTGATTGAGTTGTAATTCTTCAGTTAGGTCATGTCCCAATTCAGTTGGATTGATTGAAGCTTCGCATGAAGACCAGAAGTCAAGATTTAGCCAAGAATGAGTCAATGACAGTTTTCAAAGGTTATGAAGACATAAGTGAAAGAAAAAATTGAAACGGGAGCAGGTTGAATTGATTCATAGAGTTCTGATGAGGGACTGAATGGATCCAAGAGTGAGCTGGATTGGTCCCGATGTCTCTGGAATTCAAAACTATGTAACAGGGGGCTGGATTGATCTGGGAAGGTGGTAAATCGATCCACACGTTCTTGGATTTGAACTGGGGTATACAGAATGTTCCATAGATTGATCCAGGAAGTGTCCAGGACCTGGATTGATCTAGAGGCGTTTTAACTAGGATAGGTTTGGAAAACAGATTTTTAAGGACCATGATCTTGGAGATTTAGTTGGATACCTTCTTAACTTATTAAGGGATGATTAAAATAAGGTTAGGGGCTATAAATACATGTGATTTGTTTTTTTTAGCCTATTTGCTTTTGAAGAGCTATGGTTTTCTTGGGGAGGCTTGGCTTGAAGTAAACTTTGTGTTGAGTTCATTACAATCATGCCCAGAAAACGATAGAGACACTGTAGTGAAATCATATGTCAAAACCTTCTAAGCTATGAGACTAGTGGGGCAATCCTGCCATTGAGAAACAGTCTGAGTGATTCAGATTGATTAGTGTGATACGGAGGATTGAGTGATTTAATTGTGGGATCTTGGTGTAGATTCTGGAGCAGTGAACAAGGAACTAAATTTCGTTTCGAAACAGTTGAAATGTCAAAAACGTTTCCGTGTTTTCATGGTAATCGAAACGAATCATTAATTGAATATCAAAATTCATATGTTTCGAGGTGTTTCGACCAATGTTTTGAAAATAAATTATTAAAATTCTTTGTTTTTATGGTGTTTCTGAAACATTACCTAAACGTTTCTGTTTCCAAACTCTTCAAAATTGTTCACGGAAACGAAATTTTAATCTTTGGCTGTGAAGATCGATGCAATACAGAGACTTGTGAGGAGTGATTTATGGTGTGGTGGGGCGGTGAATGCGAGTGAATGATTCATTCGTGTAACGTAGAAGACCAAATGAGTAACTATCAGCGGAAGTGTGAGTGGTTTGAGTTGTCAACAAGTGTATAGTCAGTGTGCCTTTGTATTTATTTCAGCTATAGTGCGCTGGATTACATGTAAATCTCACATATTTGTTGTTTCTTTCTTACATTTGCATATTAAGTACACATGTGATGGGATATTGCCAAGTGAATTGAAATTCGAGCTAATCTCTCTTATTTGTAGTTGCTTGCTTGTTTGCATATTGAATACAGAGAATTGAAAATAGAGATTAAAACAGTATATGATAATTGTTCATTTAACCTTTTGAATTATGTCTTGGAAGTCAAAGGTTTGGGGGAATTAGGAAGAAATGGACTAACGGTTGTCTAAGGCCTATGAATTTTTCAGTCATGCTTAATGGTAAGTCACGGAGTAGACTCAAGGCACGGGGGGGTTTAGACATTGGTGATCCTTTATCACCTTTTCTATTCAATTTAATGCCTAATGGGTTCATAGGTTGGTTCTTAGAGCTAAAAGATGTAATATTGTGGAGGGGTTTACAATTAAAAAAAATGAGATTTCGGTTTCACATTTTTGCAATTTGCTGTCAATCCTATTTGTAGGGGATAAGGCAAAGTTTTTAAATTTCAAAAAGGTGCTGGACTTG